GTTCCTTGGAGTGTGAACTTGCTTGGAAATGGGACCATTACAGATGTAATTTTTAGGTGATGATAAGGTCACATTAAGGTGGGTTGAGCCCTCATCAAATATGGAGAAGAGGGGAGACAGTACAGAGGAGAATCGCACACCAGAACAAACACACAGAGCAACTGGGGTGACAAGGCAGAGATGGGTGACTGAGACACCAGGAGCTGGAGGAGGCAGGAAGGACCCCCTCCAGGGCTTTCCTGGGCATGGAGTCCTGCCAACACCCAGACTCCAGACTTCCAGCCTCTCTAACAAGGGAAAAATAGGTTTCTATTGTTTCTGGCCACCCACTGCATGGTGCTTTGTTACACAGCCCTAGCAAACGAATGCAGCAAGAGTATGGACAGCTGGTTATGCTGCCCGTGGATGGGAGAGGGGCTGGGGGAGGTGCCCTTCATGTAATTCTTCAGCTACCGTTGTCACTTTAGGAACTTGTTCCTTCCTTCTGTGCCTGATGTCCCTGGGCCTGGACTTTCCCTGGTTTAATTGCCCTTGAAATTACTGGGATATAGATCTAGTGTCCTGTGTTCTTCTTACTCTGGTGAGAGCTTTCAGCTTAAGCACCCTCTGGAAAAATAACCAGAGCCTCCCATTCCTGAATAGTCTCCCCAGATTATATTATCTCTACAGATAATATTTCTAGTTCTCAAATCGTTCAGCTCAAGGTCATAGCTTCCTGGGCCACTCAGCTCTCCTAGCGGAAGTGATGGCGCCCTCTTCTGGCCACTGAGTGTGGTGGTCCTTTCCTCAGGCCTCTCTGGAACTCCCACAGCCTGGAGGGAGCCTCCGTGTCCGTTGATCTTGGCGTCATCTCCACACTCTCCACAGCTCCGCTCCACACAATTGCCCCTCAGTGCACATTTCTTGGATGAATGAAGGAATGGAGAGGACTTCAAGGCTAAAATGAATGTGTGTCTGACTTCGTGCTTGAAGCAAACCAATTCCATGGCTGAGATTATTAAAAAGGAACCAATACACCCATTCTTTCTAAGTGGAAATTTACATTTCAAACTGAACAAAAAAGTCAAATGGGAACTTTGATGTAGTCCTGTAATTATAAAACCAAACATCTCCTTGCTCAAATTGTTGAATTCCAATCAGTTGCAAAGAGTTCTTGGCTCTTCTCACATTTGGGTTAGACATCCTTAAAATTAATCAGCTGAGCATGGTTTACAGCTCATGAAATTCTAGGAAGACTGCTGTATTTTTAGCTGGGCAATTTTACACCAATTTTCCTAGAGCCAGCGCAATGCTGACATGTTACTTTTACTTCAGGCAGTCTTCTCCTTCACCCCTCAGTAGGGGTTAACATGTGCACCCAAAGCCACTAGCTCAAGAAGAACATAGAATTTCTCACTAGACTTTCATTTGCAAATTTAGGGTGCATATAGTGTGAGGAGCTTTCCATATACTTGAAGTCAAAGATTCCCTTGGGAACTCCACTCCCCGCCCTCTACCCCCACCAAGCTGGTGCTTTGGTGAATATTATTGGAGCCAGGGTTCCGTATCAGGTATTCATGGGCCTGAGTGAGGACGACTTCGCTTCCTGTTTTCTTTGATTATAAAAGTGGCCTTAAGGAAAGCCAGGGAAAATCAGGACAGGGAATATTCTTCATGTAGCAGAAGGAATAAGAGAATAAGAGAAAAAAGAAAAAAATAAGAGAATTACAGTGGGACTTTGTGTGGCATCTGATTGGCTTCTTTTGAGAAGTGTATGCTTCAAACAGGTCATTTTAGTGCACCAGGCGGTATTTCTCTGGGTGATAAGTGTTGGAACACAAGTGTGAATTAGCATGGAAAATGAGTGACTTTTGGCTCATGTAACCAAGGGCAGATTGAGAACGGGCAGGGTAGGACCACATTCTGGGGCGGGCTTGGTCACAAGGAGAACAGAGTCAGGAATCCAGTAATATTTCCTCTTTGTCTCTTTGTACTTTGAGTGATCTGGCTGACTTCCTCCAAAGGGCAGCACATATGGCAGTGCCCAGGGTCACACCAGAGTGGACAAGGATGCTCTAGGCACAAGGAAGAAACCCTAGGGAGTGCCCCGCTCCTGCTGTGCCTGTCCCTGGGTCATGAAGGGGGGCGCTGCTGGAGGGGCTGTAGGAAGATGGTGTCTCTGCAACCCCCTGATGAAAGTAGGTGAAGGGTGTCCCCAAATAGGGCAGAGCTGTCCCAGGTATGTGACCCAGCAGGTGCATGCACCACAGGCACCATGTCCTCCTTCACCTGTGTGCAGCACAGCTCGGAGCGGGACACTGGTTGTGCTTTCAGATATTGCATGCAGAGCTTTTTGTGTAGCTGAAGAGGGTCATGAAGATTTGCATCACAGGGTACTGAGGGGAAATGAGGGAGCTGGCCCACCTGTACCCACTGTCCTTGTCCTTGAGCCCTGGGTGGGGCTAAACCCAGCAGTGTGTGCACTGGAGCAGGGGAGGAAGGAGAGGTCAGGAAGCAGGCGGAGGCAGACACAGTGGATGCAGTCTGCACCCCAGGTGGAGGGGTTGAGGTTGGGCCATCCTGGACACCGTCGAGCCACTTGTTCTGCAGAGGATAGAACAAGCAGCTCGCCCCAGACTTGTGGTCGGGCAGTAGTAAGGAAGGCACTGGGGCATCATTTCCAGACACCAATTAACTTTCCACCCTGCCCCTCGGGAGGCTTAGAATATGCTCAGGGATGGTGCAGGAAGCCGTAGCTGCCTCCTGGCTGCTGGGTCAGTGGAGACTTCCTTCCTCCTGTAGGCTGGACCTACAGTCTTGCTTTTCTTGAGCTAGCAGAACTGCCTGTTCACTTTGAGCTGATTCTGGAATCTCACATGCTCCTCTTCAGGAGGGAAATGCCATCCCAGATGCACCAAGCCGATCTACTAATGTAACAGCATGTACAACTCCTCAGGGAGCGGGGAGGTTGCTGCTTTGAATCTTGTTCTAAATAACCCATTGCCCTTGCTATGGAAATGAGAGCGATTTCTCATACCAAGGAATTAGCTGTTTTGAAAACATAGTTGTATTTTTCTTGAGAAAAGGATCCATGGGTGGGAGCAGGTGTGTTGCGCTAGCTTAGCTGGTCTCAGTGAGCCACACTGGGGGGACACGGACTAAATCCCTGCAGCTGTGTGCCCTGGGGGACTCTCCTGGGGTGGTGGCCGTGGTCCTGCTGCTCCCTGTGGAGGGAGGACTTGGAGAGCAGGAGCCACAGGCAGAGCGGTCCCCCAGCATGTAATGTGGGTGGTATGGCCCCTGGAGGTGATGCAGGGAAACCTCACCATCCTGTCTCTGTCCCCCCACTGGACAGCTGCAGACAAACCCCTGGGGAGCAGGGCAGGGATTCCTGGAGAAGTGGGGCGCAGTTAGTCTCTCTGGGATGCTATCTCCCTCCTCCCTAGTCTGGAGGGAAATAACTCATGGGAGGAGTTAGTGATTTCTTGATTCTTCAGATTTGGCTTTTGAAGGATATTGAAGTCAAAAATATCCTGCAGATGTCTGGAGATTTTTTGCATTAGCTGAGTTTTTGCATATGCATGTGGTGGCAGTGTGAGAAGTTGGTGGGGCCCAAGGCGGGGCTGTGACCAGATCCCTGTACCAGCCTGGGGTGGAGACAGTGGCACCTGTCCTCTCTGTGTATGGCTTTTCTTCTCTGTAAAATGAGTCCATAGTTTCCCCGAACAGAAAAGGCACAGATCTGTTTGAAAGGGTTTGGGATGAGGATGTCTGTGATAAAGATAGATGTATACCAAAGAACTTTGGAAGAGAGATGCTATGTAGAAATTAAAGTTCATTCTTAAGAGTTTTCTTCATTTCAGAAGTGCTGGTGAGGCTGTGGGAGAAAGGAAACGTTGGTGGGAATCTAAACTAGTGCAATCGGTAAGGAAATCAGTGTGGAGAATATTCAAAGACATTCTTTTTTCTCCAGCTATTCCTCTCCAGGGTATCATCCCGAAAGAGTTAAAGATGTCATACTATAGTGTTTATGCATACCCATGTTTATATCAGCACAAGCCACAATAGCTAAGCACTGGAAACTACCTAGATGTCCATCAACAGATGAGTGGCTAAAGAAAATATGGTCCAACACAGTGGAATATTACTCAGCCATAAAGAAGAATAAATTCAAGTCATTTGTGAGAAAAATGGATGAATCTTAAGCCCATAACATTAAGTGAAATAAGTTAGACACAGAAAGTTAAATATTGCATGGTTTCTCTTATATGAATATAAGTGAATTAAAGAGAAAAAGGTTGGTGGAATAAAGGGCTGAAATGACCAAGATATAATGTGTATGTGTACCAATTTCCCCAAATGAATGTGACTATTATGTGTGGCAAACATACCAATAAAAAAAGTTTTCTTGAAACCCCGAGCCAGATAACCACCCTTGTTTCCCTAGTGTGTGTCCCAGAATGAGACCAAGCCTCATGATCAGATCCATTGTATATAGAACTTAAAAAAAATGTAGTTTCCTTTTATTGCCTTTTCACAGGGCTTTGGTTAGCTGAGGCGATTTTAATGGCTGGTTTTTATATTTGAAAGGGGAGATTATTAGGAGAAGTTTCAATTCAGAAACTTCAAGAAGAAGCAGGCGGGTGTGGCAAGGGTGGGGGGGCCGCATTTCCTGTTTGCCTTTTCAGATGGTGTCCGAAAACACTGCAGGAAAACCATGGCTACCCATGAAGAAATTCCAAAATCCATTCTCTTTGCCACCAGGGGCCCTGCCTAAAAGGTGACGGGTAGAAGTTGTAGAGTTTTTTTAGGAGCTGAAATCCAAAGGAGTCCAGCTAAATGCTGCAGGGTGAAGACAGCCTTGGGGTGACATCAGCTCTCAGCACAGCCAGAAGCAACAGAGCTGGGGTCTGGTTTTCATTTACAGTGGTGGTGGGGGCGTGGAGTGGGGTAGGAGGAGGAGCTGGAGGAAGCCCTGACTGTACCCCTGGACCCCGGCCAGCCTCACTGAGCTGCTCAGTTCTCCGGCTGTCTGCGAGGCTGCAGGAGGAGTCTGCTTGCTCTGTCCCTCTGTGGCGGGGCGCAGGGCTGCAGGAGGAGTTGGGACGCAGGAGGGGGAAGATGTGCCTTCTGGTCACACACAACTGAATCCAGAAGCCGGGACACACATCTTCAGGTCTGCTCAGGGTAAGAGCTCTTTTTCTTGCCCATTGGCAAGAGGGAAACACTTGAGGCCAGATGTGGCCGCTTCTAGGTGGTTTTGTGGCTTTTACGGTCACCTTGTTTGTCAGTTTTCTGTAAATGTTTTAAGTTTCTGGAGAAGTCTGATGAAGTTTCTTTCTCACTGGCTACCCAACAGTAAAGCTCCATTTCGGGGTTCCATCTGCGTCCCTGCTGCCCTGTGTGCTCCCAGCTGCCGTGTGGAGCTCCAGGTTACTGGCATGGCCCCTCCTCCTGCCCCAAGCCGGCTGGAATGTGTTCTGTCTGCAGAAGGGGCTGGCGGGGGTCACAGAGCTACCTGTTGGGGATTTTCTCTGGATGGTCTCTGGATGACTCTGCCCAGGCCGCTCCCTGGGATGTCCTGCTCTGGCCACTGTGGGAAGCGGTTCTGGGACACATCTGTTTCCTTTGGAGTTTAGGCTGACTCTGGTGCCTAGGCTCAACCGGGACCACCAGGGCTGCATCTTTTCAGGAATCTGAAGTCACCCTTGGAGGCTTTGTCCTCAGGGATTGAGTAAGGAACTGCATGGGCAGAGGAGAAGGAACGTGGTTCCGGCTGCAAGCAAGTGGACAAGGTCAGGCTCGGCTGCAGGCTGGCCTGGGTCCTCGGGCTGAGGCTGCTGCCAATCTGGGAGGCCCCTGGGCTATTCCTTGGCTGGGAGGACCCAGGGTGGGGCTCGGAGTCTCAGTCCCCAGGGATGGAAACCGTTCTCTGAGGGCTGCCAGCCTGTTTGGGGACTGATTTCAAGCTACTATGTTAGAAAGTTGGCGACACAGGCTGGGGCGGCGTCCCGGGAGGGCCCCATGGTGTTGGGAGAGACTGAAGGAAATGCAGAGTTTCACAGTGAGTTCAGGGATGAAAGTGAGGCTGCTCTGGACCCTCAGAGCAAGCTGGCAAGACTCTAAGGGGCCTCAAGGCCCCAGGAAGGCAAGGCGAGACCCATGCCCCCACAGCTAATCCAACAGGAACTGTGGGTCTCAGAGCCGCGGGATGCTCAGTGGATAGGTGGGTGGTCCTCAAGGCTGAAAAGCTGAGCAGAAAGGGCTTTAAAATCAAAATCACACTGCTGTTGACCAAGACACTACTGAAGACCATTGGCCAGCTACAGGGACCTCTGAGCTCTGTGCTGCAGGGTGACAGATCTTGGAAGAGGGGCTCAGCTGGAAGCCCCAGATGTAGCTACCCTTTGATTTTAAGAATGAGGATTCAAGTCTTTGAGAGGCCGAATGCTCATAGGGCTGCAGAGCCAGTGGCCGGGCTGGTAGCAGCATCCTGGACATTCCTGGGAGAAATGGGGCCGTGTGCAGAGACAGAAGATTCCAGACTCTCTGGCACCTGGTCCGAAGGTCCACCTGGGTTGTCCCCGGAAGAGAACTTCTTCTTCACATCCCATTAGCACTGATAGGAAAATCAGTTTCAGCTCCCGAAGGATCTTCAGATTAGGGGGAAGAAGTGAGGTGGACAGAGGTGGCAGTGGGGGCAGCATCAGCTCGGTGACCCAAGCCTCAGGTGGGCGTCCCTCTGTCAGGTCACCTCGGCCCTGTGTTCTGGCGTGGGCTTCGCTCAGGGTGAAGCTTTGGGCTGGTGAGGGGGAATTTTTCCCAAAGAAATTGAGGCTACAGGGATCATGGCCACGTTTCTGAATATCTGTGTTTAGGCGATTTCTTAAAATTATCGTGAAATTATTTCTCTCTTGCCCTCCCTCATCCAGCAAGAGGCCACTAAACACTTGGGGTGGCAGGGGATGTGGGCAGGGTACCACAGCTCCATGGCCAGGTGACTCTTCCTACCTAGGACTTGGAGGGTGGGGCTGCAGTACCTGCCGGGAGCCCCTGGGAAGAGTCTGTCCCCCATAGGGACCTGTGTGCCTCAACCTCTTGGTTAAGGCCCAGTGGTTAAATCCATAGGACACATGGCTAAGCCTTGGATCATAAAGTTTTTGAGGTGAAATAAGCATACTTCTGGCTGTGTGTGTGTGTGTGGTGTGTGTGTGTGTGTGTGTGTGGTACTAGGGATCAAACCCAGGGCCTTTACATGGAATTACATCCCCTGTTTTTCTTATTTTTTATTTTGAGACACAGTCTTGCTAAATCATTAAGTTTCCCAGGCTGGGTTAGAACTTGTGATCCTCCTGTCTCAGCCTCCTAGAGTGCTGGGATTACAGGCATGCACTGGCACGCCCAGCTGGCATCTTTCTGAATCCGAATCCTCTTTACATTGTGCTTTTTCTCACTGTGTCTCACTGACTTGTGGTGAGTGGCTTCTGTGATTCTCTCAGTTAGGACTGAATGCATCCCTGATGTGAAGGAGGAGGAAACCCATCCGGTCCCCTGACTGTCAATGAGGGATGTTGTTTCCAGGGAGGAACTGTACCCTGACCTTCGTGTGGGTGCTTACAGCTTAAATGGGACCTCCGTCCTCCTGAAAGGGGTCAGGGGCTCTCCTGGACTCCCTTGCTCTCCCTCCAAGGCCGAGTCTTTGGGTAACTTGGACAGAGTGGGGCTTCACCCCCTGTGTTCGGGGTGTCTGTTACCACTCACTTTTACCTGCAATTCCCGATCAGGGTTTAAAACCCACCAGCGTGCCGTGAGTCCTGCTGTGTGACACTTTCTTGCAGGTGTGCTGGCTACTTTAAGCAAATATTTTTCTTTGAAAACCAGTTGTTATTGCTTCTTTGTGGCAGGAGCTGAGAGTTTGGAGTCCCTTGGGGAGGATGGCAGACGGATCCCATCTCAGTGGGACACTGCGTACCACGCGGCGTTTCCACAGTGGCCTGAGGGAGCAAACTTTACAAGGCTCCCTGGCTGTGGCAGGAAGGCCATAAAAACACCCCACTGCTGCAGAAATAGCTGGCAACTGGAATGAGCTGACATTTAGAAATCCTACTGGTAGCTCCCGCTAAGGAAAGCAGAGCCGCAAGTGAGTGGAATTTTGAAGCTGGGGAGGTTTCAAAGGATCCTGCTAATTCAGAGAGCTGCAGACTAGGCGAGGAAGTGTCTCTCTGGTTTCTAGATAAGGTTTCTTGGTTTCCACTGCAAAAGCTCTGTGACACAGCCCTGCTATTTAAATCAAAGACAGGGCTTGTTCCCCTGCACAGCAGTAGAGAATGCCGCAAATTCTTCAGGGGCATCGGCCGGCCTAGTTTCCCAAAAAGGCATTTTCTTTAGGGATTATGTTAATTTTCAAAAAATGTAATTTCCAACACATTCTGGTCTCACAGGGCTATTTGGGGAAGGAAAGCAATTTTGAGTTAGCACTTTCCACCGGGCAGAGCAAGGCTCTGAAGATGTAGTTTGGTTTCTTTCCTGTAGAGGGCAGCGTGCCCCTCCTAGCTCCAGAAAAATCTCCAGGTGGTGGGTGGAGTTTCGCAGGGTGAGGATCCAGGGGGGTGCTTTTGTACACAACTTTAGGATCTACCTAGGGACTGTTTCAGGACATTATTATTATTGTTGTTGTTTTTAACGTGGCTGTTCATATTACCTGAAGTGGGCACAGACAGGGTTTTGTTTTTCCTCTGTGCTCACTGGTGAGTGTGTTATGATGAAATTATGTCTTTGAATACTGCCTTCTGCCTTCTAAAACAACTGTATTGTGAGCGCCCCAAGCAGATGAGAAATTCTGAAGGAAGCGTTTCACTCAGGTATAGTGTTACAAAGTTTGAACCAGCAGCCTGGTGCCTGAGAAACGAAGCGTATTTGAAAATTCACGTCCCGAAACGAAGCGTATTTGAAAATTCACGTCCCGAGCTGCATCTGGGAGGAGTTTTTAAATTTTAAACCTGGAAGAAATCTTAAAATTAGCTGATCCAATAACTCCTGAACTTTTCTTTTATCGTCATCCGCCCTTTGCCATTTCCCCCTAATCGACAACAGGTTTTTTATATATTTTAAAGAAATTTACATATAGTTCCGAGTGTCCCATTTTAAATATGTTAATGAAAATAAGTTATTGACTCTCGGATTTCATGATTTTAGGTGGAGATAACCGCTGTTAGGGTCCCCTAGTGAGTGCAGAGCTCCAGCGCAGAGCAGAGCGACCCGGATTTAATCCATCTGTATGTTTTCATACTTATTTGGCTGGAAAAGATCATGGTAATCCAGGGCACTGGGCTCCAGGGTCAAAGGATGGGACAGAAGTGAAGAAGACAGAGCTCTGCTCTCCTGCTTGGCAAATACACCATTTCTGAGCTGTCGAAAAGTGGCTGTTTCGTTGGATGCTTTCTTTCCCCACACTCTGTACCCTTCTTGGAGCACAGCCAGTCTCTCTCCTGTGCTCTGCACCTGTCTGGTGGAGTCCTGCACAGTCCTGGAAGAAGCTGTGAAAGCAGGCTGTAGAGTGCCTCTGGAGAAAAGTACACTGTGCATTCACCAGTTTTTCTTTGGAAGATCATCTTTAAAGTTGATTTCATGGAGGAGTAACTGTTGCTTAAAAATATCTGGAAAGGAAAAGCAGAAAAGAAAAATGAGGCAGATGTGAACAGTCCTGCCTAACCCTCTCCCAAAGGCAAACCATCAGTCTGCTGGGATCAGGTCTCACCAGCCCAGGGTCAGAGCTGCTTAGGGCTCAGGACTGGAGAGGAGTGCCCGAGGGCCTGGCATGGCTGGGAATCCCTCAGAGGAATCTGTTTCCCTGAATCTCCCAGCTTGTGTGCTGCACTGGGGATTTTCATGGGCCCAGGGTAGAGGGAACTCAGCCCTGGAAGGAAGCGCTCAGGGCTGGTCCAATTTCAAAATTAAAAATTGAACAGCAGCTGGAGATGACTCAGGTCTCAAGGGAGACAATTCCAGGGAACTGGTTTCTCACTTCTGGAATCTTCATTAGTTGATTCACCAGCTCCTTGCCGGAGTTCAGTGTGGCAGGCTGCGTAGCTGAACCCACAGATGCCCTGAGGGTTCACAGGTGGGGAGGGGGTGCAGGAGACCCTGTACGAGCCTGGGAGACAGGAGGGTGGCAGCTTCACCCCTAC